GGATGTTGGATTGGAGTCTCCATGCATTTGGAAATGTCCTAAGTGACTTGCCTGAGCACTTGCTTCTCAAGTGGTCAGTCAGCTAAATAACATTATTCATAACTTGCCAGAGCTGAGAAACTAAATCATGATTCAGGGCATAAGGATTCATGGATGGTACAAGGTAAGAAGTAAAGGAAACTATTCCTCTCCTACAGCAGGCACACTCCAGATGCTGAAAATGATGTAGCAAGTAAACAGAGCAAGGCAGAGATGGTTTGAAGGATAAGGTAGCAACATGACTAACAGAATTTAGCAGAAAAAGCAGAGTATATGCTTGCAGTTCACTACTTGCATCATGAAATGCCAGATGGTAGGTTTCAAAGGGATTTTAGAGACGTACCAAATCAACAGATTTTGACATGGAGTTTTTCCCAATTGTGGAGGGTGGCCTGGTAGAAAGGCAGGAGATGCCTGATGAAGAAGCAGACATGGAGCCGTGGAGGTTGCTGTCACTGGCAAAGGGAAGGTGGAGGTTGACAGCTTGATAAACTAGTAGATGTGATAGGTACAGGGAAGCTAAACACTGAAAGACTGTGAACGCTTGAAATGTGACAATAGAGTTTGATGTTGGGAAAAGGAGTTACCAGGCATGAGTGTTAAAGGCGAGGGTGATGCAGCTGGAGTGATGAGGATGTTGCTACTGAGTGTCATCTCACAGAAAGACTAGAGAAGGATGATTTACAGCACTGTTGGCACAAACCCCTCATCAGTCTGAAGAAGCCACAAAGATAAAACCAGTAACAAACACTGACAGTCTGTGAGCACAAGAGAAGCTGTACCAGATCAGGATGAAGATCTGTGGCTCTCAGTAATCTGTCAGATGCTGGCATTGATGCCCTGACAGGAGTGTAAGAATGGTGTGAGCATAAAATGATGCCGCTCTTAAAAATTACCTTCTGAACTTTGACTGTCTGCAGTCCAGGCAGGGACTGTCCTGAGGTATAAGTGGTTTCTATGTGCTCAGTGACTCTCAAAGAGATTGTTCTTCCATGAGCTTGACTGGTTTAAAGATGAACTCCTCAAGAGATTGGCTTTCTCCACCTTTGGAAATTCAGCTTATCCCTTTCCTGTAAAGATACTGGTCCCAGATACTGCTGTGAGTATCCAGAGGGTTTGAGCCCTTATTAAGGAAATCATGTTCAGTTGTGGAGCCACAAGTTCAGTGCTATTACTTCCTTCACACTGTCCATTCTTTTATGTCAATCATCTATATTCATATGCTTTATTAATGACTGTTGTTGCTCAGAAATGAGATCGATTCATTCCTTTCTTGTTCTGAGCATTCCCATAATTCTGAGAGTTTGCAGTATGCCATCCCCACCATTAACGTGTTCCCTACAAACAAAAAGCACTCCAGCGAGAGCGCTGCAGTTTCGCAGACACAGATGGCATTACCAGACACAAATGTCTGTCTTGGCTCCTGCACGTCGAGTTCCGTGCTGGGAGTGAAGTTAGAGAACGCTCCATCTGCTGCTTCGGTTACCAGGAGCACCGCGCGCGCTGGAGCCCACCCTGCCCTAAGCTTGGACTTGCACCATTAACTTCTTCCAAAAATTCTGGGTAATGAACTTATTTTTCTGCCGGTAGGTAAATGGCTGCTTACCTCATGGGAGCCTTAGAGGACCGAATTAAGTGGGGCAATAGTTTATGTCCCCTCTTTCACATCCCAGGGTGCAAGTTCTTGAGAAAAGTCCTGCAGACATGAGATCCTGGATGAGAGTGGGAAGATGTTGTGTAACCAAGAGCCAGCAGAAAAAGGCAATGATACCTTAACATCAGCTTTTAGGGGCAGAAGTTTGTTACATCACCAACACCATTTTCAGGTAGCTCAAAACAAGCTGAGATTTGTTTTTCTGTTTAAATTAATTTAGTACTGAAGCAATCTGGATTATAGCTGAGTCAACCCCCTCCCCCCCCAAAAAAAAAAAGTACTAATTTGATTTTTAATTTATCAAAAGAGATAGACCTGCTGAAATTATTATCCTCTTTATTAGGTTTTGTGTTTGTAGCCATGCAAGATTATTTGCAATGCAGTAGCAGTGAATAGCTACAGTTCAGGACATGAAACAGTATCAGGAATTTCTAAGAACTTGGTAATATCTGTGCTGTGGAACAAATGAAAACGAAAGCTTTAGTCACTGCAACATCCTTTTACCTTCAACATTCTTTCTATTACTTTAAACATCTAAGCACTGCTGTAATAGGTCTCTATAATGATGCCGGCCTTCAGTTAAGGATGGAGTACGTTGTGTGGAACATCTACCTGTTCACAAAGGAATGCTGCTCTGTTAGCATGTCCTCAGCCCTATTCTCCCTCTCTCAGGCTGTTGTTCAGCCATCCGTTCCTTTCTATTCATTCCTTTACTAAGTAGGGATGGATTTAAACAGATGCTAAAATGCTCTGCTGAGCTGTGGTCTAATTAGAAGCTGAGGGTGCCTCTGGAGACAGGGAATCCAGGGATTTCGCAGGTCCCACAAGGCAACCTGGCACTGGTTTATACATGTGAGAGACTTGTCTGCACTTTGTATGCCATTTATGGATTGCTTTTGATACAAAACCTCTATAAACATAATTCAGCAAAAAAAAAAAAAAAAATTACACCAATAAGTGCGTGTTCGTTAAGACTTTCTAAGCTAGCAAAGTAAATAAAATGTGATGTCTTCATATCAGTGCACGAGTCTCAAATCCTCCTTCAGGTAGAACTTGGAGGAGCAGCATCACACGTGTAACTCAAATAACCACCAGTGTTTACAACAGTTTGTGGTGGCCCTGGAGCTGAACAGCCTTGTCACAGGATGAAGAAATGAGCTGTGCTCTCACAGACACCAAACTGCTGTTTCAGGGGCAGACAGGCCTGGCTCGCAGCGAGTTGTTGGCTTGGTTCAGTTCACTGTGGTGGGAAAAAAAATTAAAAATCCGAGCCCACCCCGCACACCCTTGGTGTTCCACCGGGGCTGGGACCGGGCAAGGGGGCGACGAGGGAAGTGTTGTCGCTTGCTTTGGTGCCAGTGTGGTCTGAGAGTGTGATTTGCAGGCACTTCACAAACTCTCCGGTGCATGGCAGAGAAGTGGCTTCTCTTATCTGGGGTGTTGTTTCTGTGTGTGGCTGACTCGGACCGTAACCCCTCAGGGCAGGAGCCGGGCCTTTCATGCGCGTTTGAAGTGCGCGGGCTGTGGTGGCCGCGGTGTGGGAGGATTCGGTTCGTTCCCTCGGGCTGGGAGCGCTCGGTACCGCTCCCAGAGGGGGACGGGGCGAAGCTTGGTCCCACACGGGCACGGGCTCAGGGCCGGCTCCGAGCGGCCTTCCACGGGCAGGTCTGGCCCGGTTCTGGGGGTCCTGCGGAGCACGGGGAGCCGCGGTTCCTCATCCCCAACGGGGGAGCCGGGTTCGTCCCCGCTGGAGCAGCCAGGGCTCACCCTAGGGAAGCCGAGGCCCTCCGTGAGGTGATGCTGGGGCTCATGCCGCGGGGCAGCCGGGCCCTCCCCACAGCGGCGGCGCCCGGTGAGGCGAGGGTGGGGGCGGCAGCCGGGCCGGTGCCTCCCGGGTGACAATGGTTTCTTTTGTCTTGCGGCGCAATTCGTGGCTTCCAGTTGCAGGGCCCCAGTGTGGGAGCGCTGTCGGTGCGGGCCGAGGCGGCCCGAGGTAGCCTTTGTTCCCGCTGCCTGCTGGCAGCCCCTCGCAGGCCCGGCAGAAGGGCCCCGCGGGGCCGGGATGCTGCCGGGGGCCGCGCTGCCCCGACACCGCAGCGGCGCTCCCGGCCGGGGATGGCGAGCGAGGCCCGCGCCTTTCCCCGCCACTGGCACTTGCAGTTGGCTCATGGGGCTGTGGTATTCGGTTTCAGGCTCAGGGATTTCAACCAGCCGGCGCTGCTCCTGGGAGGAAGGAAGAGTGAGCTATACTTTTCTCATTGGCCCGAACAAAAAACAGAAGCCTCTGCTGGGGTTTGGGAGTGGTTTATGGGCTGAGCTCAGTGGCAGGGGAGCCCTCGCAATGCCAGAGGGAATAGAGCCGTATGGTGCGCGGTGCCTATTGCGGGAGAGAAGGAGCTGAGCTCAGGGTAATGCTGCTGCCTGTGCGTCCGCTCGCGTCTCCCGGGCCCATGTGCATGAGCGCTGCCGCTGCCTGCCCTGCCCGGCGCTGCCTTCGCATCCCGGCGCGGCTCTCGCTGTCTTTGTTTCTCTGTTTGCTTGCGGGTTTGTAGCGATGCGTGGCGAGTGCATTGTGGGTTTGCCTGGGAGTGTGGGCTCTGCGCTGGTTTATGGAGCGGTGTCTGTGTTGTTCCTGTGTTCCCAGCTCGCTGTGTTTGCTTAGTGGTTTAGCTTCATTTGTGTCATCTCCCTCTCTTTTTTTTTTTTTTTTTTGGATCTCCGTGTTTGTTCTTCCTCGTGAGTTTGCAGGTTACTCCATATTTCTTCGCATCATTTCTCTAAGAAATTTTCCCAGATGTTTGTGGGTTTTTCTGGTTGTTTTTTTTTTCCTCTTTTATTTTTTTTTTTGGGGGGGGGAGGGGGTGGGAGGGGGAAGTTCCCCTTTTTTCCACATCACAAATCCTCCCTCCAAAATAACAATACATTAACTGGACAAATTTCAGGCTTGTGGAGAACACAAACCAAACTCTTCAATCGGGAAGGGAAGCTCCCCCCCAACAGATTACAAGCAGCTGCGTGTTTTAAAACCCTGTCTGAGGCTGTGCAGGGAGATAAAGTGGAGTGTGCAGGGGTTGGATGTGGTAGCAGTTGTGAAAATATTCAACCTGGGGCATCATCTGGGTCGCTTGTGTTTTCAGGGTGTAACTCTAGTCAGGTTGTCTCCCCATGCCTGACGGGGGATTGTGTCCCTGGAGCCACTGTACTTGCCCTGGCCCAGAGCGCTGTGGCCACAGCACACAGTGGGATGTATTTCCTAGATTTCTTTCAACGTGGATGCTGTGTTAGGGCTTTTTTCCCCCCCTTTTTCCTTTTTTTTTTTTTTCCCACTGTTGTTATGGAAAACCCTGAAAAGTTGAGTGGTTCCCCAAATTAGCAGCTGTTGGTGATGAGAAGCCGCTGGCTGAGGCTGGAGCCGAGCGGTGCCTGAGATTAGCAGTGCCATGGAGTGTGCTGGGACCATGTGACTGCGGTGTACATTGGAAGAGGAAGCTGTAGAGGTCAATGCAAAGGCATTGTGCCAGACTCTGGCAAACAGGGAGAGAGCTGGATGGCGGAAGATCCTCCCGCAGGCTCCTGAGCCGGCTGGGAGCTGTTGGGCTTGGACAAAAGCAGGCCTGGGAGATTAACAGCATAAATTAAGGCATGGCTTGTTTGTAGATGGAAAGAAAAACACTTTATTTTCCAAATGCTTTGCAGGTTCTTACTAATCGCCGTAAGTGACTCTTTCACTAAAACCACCTTTATTGGAGTGGAAATTGTGTTTAGAGGAGTTTCAAGAAAACAGAGGGGAAAAATGGAAAAACAAGGAAAAGAAAGAGTTGTGTGTTCACAGTTATACCTGCTTTGGTGTTTTCTCACAAAACTAAATTTAAAGTGCTTTGATTTGACAGGATTCAATCCTGTTATTACCTCTCTGAACATAAACAGTTTGCTTCATGTTTAGGTTATTGACTACTGAGAAATAGCTAAAACCAGCTAATGCCCAGGCCATGTTTGCTCTTCCAGAATAACTTAATTCAGGAAGTGATTTTTGATAGGTAGCACTGTCTAGAAAATTTTTGTTGTTAGTGTGATGTATTTTATATCTGGCATTCTGGAAACTGAAAATAATTGACTCCATAAGGATTTAATTTTTTTTACTTTAAAACAACATGAACCTCTAATACTCAACACTGCTTACAAGCTGAGAATTTCTATGCTGATTTCTTTTTCCTAATGAGCAATAATTATTCAATCTGTGACTTTTTGCAGTTTGGCTGGAAGAAAAGCAACTTCCTTTCTGGGCTTCTTTTATTGTTTTTAAATTCTATCTGACTTGTAATCAACAACATCTTGGTAGAGAAAACATAAAAGGAGATTTTTTTAAAAAAAAGTGTTTGGGAGGGAAGGACTCATATTTTGAAATGGAGCATATTGAGAGTGTAGACAGCTTCTTGGCTAGCTGTGATTTTTGAAGCATCTGAAATACCCCAGGGGCAGCAAAAGCTTCTTCCTGCTTCTGAAGGATTAAAAAAAAAATTTAAAGAATTCCAGAGTGGGCAAGAGGAGAGACGTGTAATTGCACAAGGAGAGGTTTTAATTGTGAGATGAAGGCGCAGGACCTTTTTTGAAGCCCACAAATTGACTGTCTTCATGACAGCATTGCGTATCATTCTGTCAACTCCGGCTCGGGATGTGGTTGCTAGGCAGCGGCTCTTATGGACCCAGAGTGGCTCTGATTTGCCAGCCTTCTGCAGACACATGGTAAGGTCCTTCCCAGCCTATCATCTACAGGGACTTCTGCACGCCGGCTGCATACTGCTGAGCTTCTCCTACCTGAATGTGAGCAGGAAAAGACACACTTAAATCAAACCTTTTTTTTTTTTTTTCCCCTCTATTTTTTTAAAAATTTTTTTTTAACAAATCCCCTTCCAGTAGTGTTTCCATAACTCCCCTTAAAAACCAAACCAAACCAAAAAAAAAAAAAAAAGCCATGAAACGGAGACCGGAACAAGGAAAAGAGGTTAGTGGGTTAAGTGGTGTGTGTTTCCTGCGTTTGCAAAGGTGCCTACAGTGAGGAGGGCGGCTGTGATTCGGCCATTAGTTACAGATGGTGGCTGCAGGCTGGAGATTCCTGCAGCCAGACCACAGCTCTTGTGTCTTTTCCAGCAATGCAGACTTTAAACTGCTCAAATCCTGTATCAAGACGGCGTAAAAAATAGTGGATTTGATAGTTACTGTGGCTGCCAGCTGGGTCCTTTATGTGTTTTGATGCAGAATGCCTAGAAATGTGAACAAAAAGGAGTTAGTTTGCCAAATGAGGTTTCTGTCCCCTAATCCTTGCAAAAATGGCATAAGTGGCAAGTAGGTAGAGAACATTCAGGAGGATTTATAAGCAAATTAGATTTTTCAAAACTTTGAAGCAATTTGCGTACAACTTTTGGTGAAGGTTGTGTCTCTGAAGTGATGAAGGAGAGCATTAAACAGATCACCCCAGGGACTGGCAGTGCCATAAGAAATATTTCTGAACAGCCTAACTTCTAATGTTTTTCTGTTCCTTAACTCTGGAAGCTTTAATTCCTCTTGTATGAACAGCAAACTCAGACATGGAGAGAGGGTTTTTTAGTAGAAACCTTGTTACCTTCATGAGATAAATTCCTGTACTGTAAATGCAGAAACTTAATTGGTGGAAGCAGCATTGCACAGGCAGTTAACCTCTGCAAATTAAGATGTGAAAAATACTGTTTCAGATTGATTCATTTTTGTCCTTCACTCTACCTGCAGGTACTGTTTGATGAGTGTGAAAGGATGCTTCACTGATTTTCATATTGATTTTGGTGGCACTTCAGTGTGGTATCACGTTTTCCGTGGGGGGAAGGTAGGTGAACCTTTTTTGATATTTGGTTTTATTTCTTTGCACCTCTTGCAGAGGGGAGGGGTTGTTTTATTTATATCCTTTTTGTTTTCCTTTCTTTCTCTCTCTTTTTTTTCCCTTGAGGGGATCAGCCAGTGATCAGACTGCTTTAGCAGCTTTGTTGATAAACACAGAGTTTACTGAACTAGAAGGACACCAGTCACCATTATGAAACAAACAAGTGATTTATTCGAAATACCAAATGTGTTATTTGCTGGTGGTGGTGCTTTTAGGCTTGCTGTTGCTGTGTGGTCCAGAAGTATCTTGCAGCAAGATGTGGCTGTCTGTACCCTTATTGGGTCAGACTGCCCTCACAAGTCTCCTGTAGCTAAAGCTTCTGTTCCTTTTAGAGATTCCACCTTTCTTTGGTGTGTACAGCACAATAAGCCAGAACTGAAACATTAAAGGATACAGAAGCCTTAAAATACGCAGCATGTACAGCTGCATTGCCATCTTTCCTGGTTTAGGATGTTTTTCCCAATTGTAGTGTGGACAGTGTACGGTGGGAACTGAAGTCAGTGGAACAGCTCCTGTTCCTCTCTGTACCAACACGCTGTTCTGAGCTGCAGGTAAACCACAGGCAGCTTCTGAGTAAGATATTTCTGGAAGAGAGATGACAAGTGACAGTTACCCAGCCACTTCCAGCACGTGGGCTAATTGCTGCTGCTGTCTGTGTGTGCCTCGGTGTACAACACCTGGAAAACAAGTGTTTCATGCAGAAAGCAGCTCATTTGCCTAACACACTGTAGCCTTGGTGGAGTTTCTCAGCTGTTTCTTTTTGTTGACTGTTGGTAATAATGAAATCTTCATTTTGTTTTTAGATCTTCTGGCTGATTCCACCTACTCTGCAGAATCTAGAACTTTATGAAGAATGGGTTCTCTCAGGAAAGCAAAGTGATATCTTTCTGGGAGACAGGGTGGAACGATGCCAAAGAATTGAGCTGAAACAAGGCTACACGTTCTTCATTCCTTCAGGTATCCCTGTTAACTAACCTTCTGGAATGATTGGTATTGTGTTTTACTGTCAGTTCTGTGTAAAACAATTCTTCACACCTAAACCATATACTGACCTCTTTATTTGCTGTGGCAGAAGAAAGGCCAGGGACTAAATGTGCTTAATTTTCCAGAAATTAGGACTGATGGAAAATGTACTGTGAGGAAGTGTGTGAGTGATCACATGTGTGTACTGGGAGAAAGGAGAGAGGAGTTGGGCCTCTGGAGCTGTCAGTTCACCACTTCTCATCAGAGCTGTACTGTCTGCTGCTGTTAGCTTTCTGGGAAAGACAATTTTCTCTTTTTGTGATCTCTTCTGGCAGGTTTCACCTGCAGTTCAGTAACTCGCTTCTTTGCCTCTATCTGTAGCCAGAGATGGGTCTTGGTGGAACTCAAGAGAGATTCCAGTCCATGGGAGAGCAGGTGCTGTGCTCCCTCAGGTTGCTTCTTGGGGAAACAGCTTCGTTGTTATAACTGTTCAGATGGTGCTGAATCTGGACATCTTCCAGCAGCCCAGCCACACTCAGTTTTACACTGCTGCCCACCTCAGTAGCTGTGTTGCATGATCCAGGCTCATCTTGCAAAGCCAACAGATAGTTGTTGCTTTGAAGGGTGATGCTTCAGCCCTTTCTGCTCCTGCCTAAATTGGATTAAGGATGGTGGAATGCGTAACAGCCCTCCTTTAAGATGATATCAGACTTTGCTTTCTGTGACTATTATGGGATCATAAGTTTGTTTATAATAATTTAACACCTTGCCTCTGTCGATTGGATCTTACTGGGGAAATACATATAGGTAGACTTTCTACATGACAGAAAGGTAGGCTGGTAGATTTTCAGCTCTGGAATTAATTACTCTGTGAAGATAGGATGATTATTTTTTAACCCTAGAAACAGAGAGAATGCAGGCCATATAGAGACAGGGACAATGTTCTTCTCATCTGGGGAGTCAGGATCAATTGAAGGCCACAAATGTACACATTTGTAAGTATTTGGTAGGAATCAGCCTGGGAGATGACAGGAAAAATTACTTTGAGGGTGAAGGAGTTAATCTGTTAGAGGAATTAGATCTTGCCTTGAAACAGGTCAGAATGTGCCATTACTGTTCGAACTGGGTGTTTGAATGTGGCTGTGCTGTTTGCTTAGATCCCATTACTGCATCTTCTATTTATCTCCATCCTCCTGTGAAAAGCCTCCTACAAGTAAGACTTTCTGTATGTCAGTTTAGTCATGTTCAGCAGCTGGAAAACTGCAGGTTGTGGGAGCTTGGACAGGACACAGCTGTAACATGGTGGCTGACACAAAGTGATTCCAAATGGGTTTTTGACTGTCGTTTCTGTTTTCTTAGGAAAGCCCCAAGTACAGAAATGCCAATACCTCAGACATTTTTGGCTCCATGCCAGATTTGAAAGGCATTTATGAATAATTTCTCTGTGAGCACCTCATAGATTCAAGGATTTTTGCTCTGCTCTATGTTGTTTGGAAAACTTATTTGCAAATCTCTCATTTGTGTGAAAGGGCATTATTTCTGCCTTTGTTTTAAGAGTATGGAAATGCCTAATTAAAGGCTGTTCCAGGTCAGTGAATTGAGCACAGCTGTGTAAAACAGGTCAATTCCTGTGACCTCTTTGCTCTGGTTTGTGCACATATCATGTTAGTTAATGTTTAAAAGTGGTTTTTATGTGCTTTAGAAGTGTTCTTAGTGTTTAGATTTTGTTTATAGATGTCTGTAAAACCAGCGTGTCCTGTAGTTTCAATTGAGCCTGATAAACCCTTGACCAGCCTCAACTCATCCATGAGGAAATACCTTCTAATTACAGGTTTGGTCACAGAAAGTGTAGAGGAATTAGTGCTCAGCTGGGCTGTGAATGGGGAACATTTCAGCAAGGGACCATTCCCATAAAATACCCTGCTCTGCTTCTGCTTTCAAGTAATTTTTGGGAGTAGTCCTAGAAATGCTGTTACACCATAGCACTGTGAGAGTGAGGTAGGTAGAGAAGACTGTAAGAGGGCAAGTGAGGGAGTGAAATCACAGTGTGCTGGGAAATGGAAGGTTTGTCTGAGAATCTGGGATCAGCAGTAGATCCGGTAAATCCCCAAAAGTACAAACACTTGGACAAGAATGGGGATCATTCTTGGGGAAGGCATAATTATAGTGCTCACCAGGGCCTCAGGGTATTTTCCTCTCCATCACTGCCATCATCCTTTCAGGATTAAGTTTAAACTAGTAGATTTCTCCTGGTGTTTGTAACCCTGCAGAGCACTGAGAGCTCAATCTCAGCTGTGGTATCAAGGAGGAATTGAGTCCAGTATCATCAGCACAGTGAATTGTTATGGGCCAAGGTGCATTTTTCAGCATGTTAGGAGTTCCTCCTAAATATGGGGAGGGGGAGGGCAAGCTGGGATTCTGAGGGATACTCTTGCAGGAGTCCAGCTGTACCCTGGTAGCCCCATAGGGCTGCTCCACACGAGCCATGCATTGTTATATGTTCTCATCTCCAACTCCACTGATCACCACTGGTGAGTCAAGGATCTAAAGTCAGTGGTAAAGTGATAAAATCAACTAGGAACCTGGCCTTTTCCATTAATGCAACTGGTGTCAGTGTAATTGTTGATTGAGAAAATACACACATTGTGCCATTCTGAGGTTTATGGCCAGATTAGATGCAAGATGCTGGACCAGCTGAAGGTTTAGGAGGGGAGGAGGCCATAACTGCTGCCAGTGTCAGGGAATGACTTTTACTTTTTTTCCTGTAGAACTCAAACTGATGTTTCCCCAGGATGGGAGCAAACTTTTCCTTATACAGGAAAAGTGCTGTGGCCCTAGGATGTTTACACTGTGTATGTTACCATGGGCAGAGTTTAGTATGTAAAATTTTCATATGGTAAACATTCACCACAGATGAAATCTGGTCAAGATAACACATATCACTCTGGAGTAGTGGACAGGGGATGCTGCCTGTCTGACTCACATCCAAATACAAAGTGTGCTTCAGGTGGAAACTCTGATGATCCAGAAGAGAAAAAGCATAATTTCAGTGCTCAGTTATTGTCTCAGTAGAGAAACAACAGTCCAGTCACAGTCAAATCTAGAGCTTGTCCAGTACTATTTTTGCTGTAGTTTTCTTCTGCACCATGTGATGATTTTTCAGGGGGGATGTGTGAAGTGTTTGGAGTCTGTTGTAGTGGTGCTAATGGAGTAGTAGTTAAGGTATCTCCCATCACTGTGCTGGGACACAGAATCAGTGTTTGGGCAGCATCCCTCAGATTTCTACAGCTCAGGATTTCTGTGGATGTGTTTTTGGCTTCTACACGCCAATTGCTCTGTTACATCCTGGCTGTTCCTCTGCAGCCTTTTTGCACTAAGCTAATGCCAGTTAAGCAGGTTTTTTTATCTTCGGGGCTTCTCCCATAAGTATTTCCTCCTTTTTCATCACTGCATAACTTCACTGGAACCTTTCTCTCTCCTTTGCTTGCCCTTCACCCTCCACTCCAGTCTTTATTCTCTGTAAATTGTCTTTCACTTCTCTCCTTGCACTTGTTTTCTCAAGTGGTGCATTCATTGATTTCCCTCTCTCTTGGTCTCTGGACACCACATTAGTTCTTCTCATGTCCTCCTAAACATCACTGTTGTTTCCTAAACCCAAGCTCAAAACTAAGTGTGCACAAAAATTCATCTCTTTTTTCAACCCACTTGCTCTTTTAAGTTTTGCTGAATATGTAATTTTGATTGTGAGTGATGGACCTCTGACATGGATATTGTCTTTCTCCTCCTGCTTGTTGTCCTCTACAAACAGGATTTTGCCATAGTTTGAAATATGTTAAACTTGTTTGCTTTTCTCTCAGTTTTTTGGTAGGCCTCTCTTTCAAAAAATTACTTTTGAAGTGCAAGTGTCTGCACCAGACATATATACACTTTTTGTGTATGTATGTCTGGTGCAGACACTTGCACTTCAAATTCTGGGGAGTTTGCACATGTAAAATTGGTGCAGACAAAAGCAGCCAGTTTGTAGTATCTTGTGGAAAATGTGTCTTGCAGTGTTTTTGCCTGCTAATATTGTGAAGTCAGAGAGCACTCTGTGTCTTGAAAAGGTGAACCCCAGCCAGTTCTGGATTGTCACTGATGTTATCTGCCAGAATATGGATAAACTTGGTTTTTCTTTTTTTTTTTTTGTGAAGACCACTTTTGCTGACTTCTGAGATAGTCGCCACATTTGTTGTGGATATAAGTTGATTCCAGGGTTTGCAGTGGGTTTGGTCTCAGAAAATTTGCAAACATCCTGCTTTTAGTTCCTTTGGGAGGAGATGGCTGATGCTGCCGAGGGTTGCTCTATCATCCTCTTTTCCTTACAGCCTTTTTCTGAGCCTCTGTCACTGGGCAGAGGCAGTGAGCTCATGAGCAGCTGTGGACGTGGGTTGGGTCTTCTGATCTTACTGTAGGCTCTTCAAATCTGTGGCTTTAACATGAGTCCACGGAAGAGGTGAGATATTGGGATGCCATTAGATATTTCAGAAGACTTCTGCAGTGCTGATTTATTCAACATTCCTGTGGTATGATCAAAATCCAGACAGGGTGACCTCCTGTCAACTGGATGATGTTCCTTTCTGGTTCTTCTTCAAACTTCTCATGTTGCTGCATGCAACTTCATAACAGTTGTGTTTCACCTGGGAGCTGGCAGTGTTCCACTGAGGAGTAAGCAGTTTGTTTTACTTTATTTTTCTTATGTTCTCTGTACTGCACTTCAGGGCCTTTGGCATGGAAACATGCTGTTAGAGTGTCTCTTAATTATTGTGGTAACCTGAGAGTGCTCCAGAGTTCTTGTCTCCAGTCAAATGCAGGAATAATGACCTTTCTCAGATGAATGTTTTTGGGAAAGAGAGTGGACAGAAAGAGATGTTCTGTGTGAACTGCGGGCAGCTATTTGCAGGGATTCAAAGTGTTTCAGATGCTGTCTCAGTGGTTATCAGTGGCATTTTGCCTAT